CCCCACATATCTAAAAGAGGACTTTTTATTGCCCTTAATATTTGTAGCTAGCTGGAACTCTGTCGCAGCCTTGGCTTTCCTGGTTTGCTCTCTGCAGGTCCAGACCAGAGCACAGTATTCCTCCTTGGAGGTGGATCCAATTCTCCATCCTTCGTAGGTCTTCCTTTTAGATGCAGGAGGTCTGCTAGTTCCCTGAAGAACCAAGGGGGATGCTGTGCCCTTTTGCTGTCTTTCCCCTGATACGGGATTGACTTTGCTTGTACATCCAGGATCACTCCCTTGAGGAGCAACCACTCGTCCTGAACTCCCCTCCCCTTTGGCTTGTGGTTCTTTATAGCCTCACTGACAAGCCTCCTGAGCATGTCAAAGTCAGCTTTCCTGAAGTCAAGGACTTCTGTATTGCTGACTGACTTGCCAGCTTTACAGTGTATGGTGAAGGTGATCAGCTCGTGGTCACTGTCATCCAGCTTCCCTTCACTCAAGTACTTCTGGTCCACTTCCAGGTCCACCACCAGGCACACAGGCCCTCCCCACCCTTGCCTGTGGGATGCTCCATCATCTCCATCATCTCAGAAATCATGCTCTCCACCCCAGGGTTCTGAGGGAATTGGCAGGGGTTATCGCGGGGCCCTTGGCATGGCTTTACGAACACTCATGGTTCTCTGGCCAGGTGCCAGAAGACTGGAAGAAGGCCAATGTGGTCCTCATTTTCAAAAAAGGGAGGAGGGAGGATACAGGCAACTATAGGCCCCTTAGTCTTACTTCAGTCCTGGGGAAGCTGTTTGAGAAAATTATCCAGGAGCAGATCTGGGAAGGATCAGCAGGGGGGATGATGCTCAGGGGCAACCAAGCATCGGTTCATTACAGGCAGGTCCTGTCAGACCAACCTGATTGCCTTCTACGATCAGGTCACAAAATCATTGGATACAGGTGCCATGGTGGATGGTGTCTTTCTGGACTTCAGGAAGGCCTTTGACACTGTTGACCACCCCATTCTCATTAAAAAGCTAGGCAAGTGTGGCATTGATGCCTACACAGTCAGATGGGTCATTATTTGTTTAGGGGGCCACACTCAGAGACTGGTGGTGGATGGGTCATATTCGACCTGGAGGGTTGTGGGCAGTGGGGTCTCTCAGGGCTCAGTCCTCAGGCATGTACTGTTCAGTTTCTTTATTAGCGACTTAGATGATGGGGTGAAAAGCACCCTGTTCAAATTCACTGATGACACCAAGATTTGGGGTAAGGTAGGCACACTAGATGGGAGGGACAGGATACAACTGGGCCTGGACAGGTTACAGGGGTGTGCAAATGAGAATAGGATGGGATTCAATACTGACAAGTGCAGGGTACTGCACTTGGGCAGTAAGAACCAGCAGTATACCTATAGGCTGGGGAACTCCCTTCTCAAAAGCACAGTGGCTGAAAGAGATCTTGGAGTCATCATCAATTCTAAAATGAACATGGGCCACCAATGTGAGGACTCAGTCAGTAAGCCTAGCCACACCTTGTCATACATCCACAGATGCATCACAAGCAGGGCAGATTGGAATCAGATGAAGTTCAACTTTGAGAAATGTAAAATGTTCCATCTGGGACAAGCACCCCCCCCCTCTACACACCAGAGTCTTGGCAACACCCAACTGACAGCACCACAAATGAAAGGGACCTGGGGGTAACAATAGACCACAGTATGAATATGAGTCGGAAATGTGACGCTATAGCCAACAGGGCAAATAATAACCTGGCATGCATCAATTGATGCATCTCCAGCAAAATTAGGGAAGTGATTCTTTCACTCTACTCATCATTGGTGAGACTGCAGCTGGAGTACTGCATCCAGTACTGGGCACTGCACTTCAACAAGGACATGGTAAAACTCAAGAGAGTCCAGAGAAGGGACACCATATGATCAGAGACATGCACAGCAAGCAACATTAAGAAAGGCTGAGGAACCTGGGATTCTTCAGCCTGAAAAAAGAGAAGGCTGAGAGGGGACCTGATAGCAGCTTACCACTACATCAGGGACATAAATCAAGGGCTTGGTGAACAACTATTCACCATGGTATCCTTGGGGATAACCAGGAGTAATGACCATAAATTCCTGTAAGACCATTTCAAGCTTAACATTAGAAAAAACTTCTTCACAGCCAGGGTGTCCTTACTGTGGAATAGACTCCCTCCAGAGGTGGTGCAATCACCCAGCCTGGAAATCTCTAAGAGGAGACTGGATGGTCACCTTACTGGGGTCACTTGACCCCAGTTGTCTTTCCTGCCCAGTACAGGGGGCTGGACCCAATGATCTTCCAAGTTCCCTTCCAGTCTCACAATCTATAATTCTAAGAATATATGTTCATAAGTGTCATTTCTGACACCTAAACTACAATGTAGATGACTAGGTGGTATTCTTAGGTAGCCAGGAAGAAACAGAATGACACCTTCAGTGTACTCCATTGTAATGATGATGCTAATAATAATTAATCAAATTAAGTTAACAAAATGTACAAAAGTATTTATTTTTCACACAAATTTAAATATTGCAAGCTTTTCTATTAAAAGAGTCACACAATAGCAATATTCATAGGAAATGTTTGTGAGGTTTTCACTGCAAAACTAATAGCCAATAACAATATTGTTTTTTCTCTAAAATGCTGGTGAAATCTAGTTTATCCATCAGTTTCTAAAAGTCCTATTCTAACACCTAACAATTTTCATTTATTGTCAAAGCTCACTTTTTGGATCCACATTTTTCTCATGGCATTTTTCACCTCTTCATTTCTCAGGGTATAAATCAACGGGTTCAGCATAGGGGTGAAGACAGTGTAGAACACAGAGACAGTCTTATCTTCTGAGAAGGTTGTTGATGGTCGTAAGTACATGAAGATACATGGCCCAAAATATAAAACCACTACAGTGATGTGGGAGGTGCAAGTGGAGAGAGCTTTGAGGCGCCCTTCTGTAGAACACTTTCTCAAGTAGACTAAGATCACAATATATGATGTAACTAACACAACAAAACAGGTCAAGGAAAGCATCCTCGTATTAGCAACAACGAGGCCAACAATGTAGGTGTCAGTACAAGCTAGTTTCAACAAAGGGTGCACATCACAGAGATAATGATCAATCTCATTAGGCCCACAGAACGGGAGCTGAGTGGTCAAGAGAGTCTGTATAATGGCATGCAGAAAGCTCCCTGTCCAAGAACCCAATACCATCCAGCCACAGACATGCCCAGTCATCATGTTCATGTAATGAAGTGGTTTGCAGATAGCAATGTACCGATCATAAGCCATCACTGTGAGGAGGAATACCTCAGTACCACCAAGGAAATGGCAAAAGAAGAGCTGTGTCATACAACAAGAGAATGAGATGGTTTTCCTCTCAGCAAGAAAGTCTGCAATCATTTTGGGAGCTATAACTGTAGAGTAGCAGATGTCCACAAAGGAAAGGTAGCTCAGAAAGAAATACATGGGGGAAATCAGGCTCTGACTCCTCTTGACAGTGATAATGATGAGGAGGTTTCCCACTACAATAACTGTACAGAACACTGAAAACAGCACAAAACAGATTTTTTCTGTCTCCTGGCTTTGAGAAAGTCCCAGTAAAACAAATTCAGACACATTATGTGCAGGTTTCATGTGGTCAGTGCATATAACCAGCATTCAGCAAGATGTTAATTCACCTGCCAAGACACAAAATAAAGAAATAAACACTAGGCAGCTATTCAACAATGATGATGAAAATACTAAGATCATTATTTAAAAAGGAGAATTTTGGTATTTATTAACTTTCTTTAGAGTCTATAAATATGATAATTTTTAATTTAAAAAAATAAAGGGACAATATAGATTCAATGAACTGGGGTGGTAATCTCAGAATTCACTGCATTTTCTTTACTCAGAAAAGAGACTCTAGAAAGTCTTGGTGGAAAATTCTACCTTGATTATCCTTTGCCACGAAACTCTCCCTTGTGTGTCTTATATTTTATTAGTACAATTTCAATTCAAAATTCTTAAGGGCACCTGGGGATAAATCCTGTTTAATTTTATGCATCAGATTGCATGTTCACAAACACCTAAGTCCACTTCTTGCCTCTGGGTATGCAAGCACTCCTCAGTAAGGCTCCACTCTGGCCATGCAGGTATGAAGTTAAATAGGATTCCCAGATACATGTGTAATGCTAGTTACATCTTGTAATTTTAGTTGCAGAAAAAACAGGACTTGCAGGTGTTCAATATCACAGGAGGATCTTTCCATGATTTAGACCAATTACCTGACCAGCTGGGTAGCCAGTAAAGGGAGAAATATAGGACCAGGAGGAAGAGAGCAAGGCCAAAGGTGTCTCTCTTATCAAGATGACTGCTCCCCTGGATAAATAGGGGCCCTGGTTTCTAATATGAATCTTTTCTGCCAGAAACTTTCCCATTGTTCTCCATCCTTTTTATCCAATGAATACTAAATGCAAAAAAAAAAAAAAAATAAAAGTACAATGGTTCTGCTCAAAAGGAACTATTCACTGTGCCCTGTTGCTTAAACTACTTTACTAGTTAAGGTGGAGATACAGGTTTAACCCCACTCCAGATAATTGTAGCCTAGAGCCAATGTCTCCTACTCACTAGGCTAATGCTTTAACCACTAAGTAACAGGGAATAAACATAGAATACCCTTCCTCATCCTTTATTTGAAGGCTGGTAGGCATGGAAGCAGGGCAAGACAAAACCCCACAAACTGTGTAAGGGAAATAAAAATGCAGTTTAATTGCTGCAAAAACTCCCCATGGCTGTGAGACCTGGACACTTGCCAGGGCACTAGAAAACCACATTGAAACTTTTGAAATACAATGTTTCAGAAGACTTATATGCATACCCTACTGTATTCTCAGAACAAAGGTACTTGTGAAACATCAAATCAGACAAAAAGTCATCAAATACAAACCCTTACTTGAAATCATAAGAGGAGGAAAAATCCCGTAGTTTGGACATGTAACAAGAAGGTCCGGCACACTTACCAACACCATCCTGCAGGGTACTGTGCATGGAGGAGGAAGAAGAGGGAGACTGAGGACAAGCTGGACCACAAACATCAAAGGCTGGACAGGCTTAAAATTGCCTGATTTTACAAGAACTGAAAAAGACGAGGAAGAATGGAGGGCAGTTACTGTTATATCATAGGTGCCCTAATGATCAATGCAGCCTCAGGATTGACTGACTGACTGAGATTGCTGCATACCTGCCCTGAAATCAGAACTGAAAATGAAATAGGATCCTGTCTATAGTTTGCAACACTGGAATAGTTCTAGGTCTAGATCATGATATATTTTGCTCTTGCACTGAGATACATAAACACCACTTTTGTTTTGTATATGCAAAAATGAGAATGAAATATCTCTTCAAAGAGCCAAAGCCTGAAAATTGGTCCCTTATTATTGTCATCTCTAACACAGGAAGTTCTCTGCCATTTCCATTACCTTTATAATGACCTCAAGTGACTTTCCTCATACCAAAACCAATTTCTATATTATAGAAAAAAATAACAGTCATAAAAACCCCAATGTTACTAAACACCTCAGTCTGAGAAGCCAAGCATATTTTCAGAAAATACGTATTTAAGGTTCATGACCTGATGGGATATTGGGATGTATCATTTAATTATTTTCTGAACCAAAAGATTATTCCTTTTCATGGTGTACTGTTTCTAAAATGTGGTATACTGACCGTAGAATTTGCATGATGGATATATAACTTTTGCTATCATTTATGTCTTTTCAGTAAAGCTTAGAAATATTTTTGTGATAATTTCCCCCCCCCCAGCAAATATCCAGATTCAAGAACACCAAAATATTTCATGAATTGGTTTCAGTTTTGTTGAAGTGTTTGCTAAAATAAAGAAATGAATAAATAAATAATTTAATTAAATAAAATTAGTTGTGCATTCTGATGTTGTTAAAACAATTAAACATTTTGTCTTTTTACTTTGATATATATTTGGACTTGAAACAATTTATCACATACTTTATAAAAATATTAAGAATATGTTTAAAGCTGAATTCTGGGATAACAAGCCCTTAGATTTACCAAGTAGTATTTCTGAAAATAACAAAAACAACAAGAATAATAGTAATTACAACTTCTTTTTTGGTAGAAAAACACAATTCTATTTCTTTGACTCTCTAGAAATTCCATTATTGTCATAGCTCTGCTATAAAAAAAACTAGTTCATATGAAATGTCCTGTGATTTTAGTAGGGAAAATATAGAAACTTTTGGAGGGGCATAGAAGGAGAGCAGGGATATCCCTTGACCTCTTTTATGCATTCAGGGATATGGATGGTGTAAAGATTCGTTTTGCTGGGAAAGTGAAAACAACAGTGTGATAAGCATGGGAAAGGGATGTCATTTGACGCATGATGGGCCCTGTGGTTCTGTCTGTACTGACCCTATAATCGTGATAAGGTGCCATATTTTCACCAAGGCCCTTTCTCTGGACAGTTACAATGGGTATATGGCTATTTGGAATAATCATAAATGTGCTAGGTATCTGACAAATTCTTCAACCTACAAGTATTTTCAAGTGACAGGACTTCAATTAATCACATTTCATTTGTGCTACAAAAAGGGTTTTATGAATAGACATGGGTTGACATTTTTAACTGTGAAAAAGAAAGACTGATGGAGAGACAGAGCAAGAAGGAGAGGTGTATGAGGAGGAATAGATGGATAGATGGATAGGCAGACAGACAGGCATGTTTTTATAGTGTATGTGCTCATTTTATATGACATGGATTGACATATATTATAAACTGAACTACTGAAAAATAAAGAACATTGATTATTAAAGGATGGGAAAATTCTATGTTAAAACAAAGATAGAAGAAGCCGGTATTATAGTTACCTGGAAGATGATAAATTTTATACCATCATGGCTTCAAAGCAGTAGTGAAGCATTCCAGTCGTATCAGCAGTAAGCACTAACAGAATGACAAATATTGTTCACTACAAGATCAAATTCTCAATCCAATGAAGATGTTACAATTTGTTAATTTCATCTAAACACCTCTCTTTACGTGTCTTGAGTTCAGATATCTATGGCCCTCTGTCAAAATGTGAGAGGAGTAAATGAGTAAAGTAGAGTTGTGGGGTAGTATAATCAGCACTAAAAAATCCTTTCACATCTGCATCTCTGCCAGCTCAGAGAGACTCAGAAGCCACTTCTGCTTTTAAAAGAAACTGATTGAAGAACCTGTTTCTGTAGTTCATTTTGGAACAAGCTGTCTCTTTTGCCCGTGCAGGTACAAGAGAAATAATTTTTAAAAAATAATGTAGAGGTAGCATGTCATTTCCCTGGGTAATGAGTTCCCAGAAGCATTTTTAAACTTTTCAGTTGCAAAGAATTGATGAAGAAGCAACTAAACTAGGCTACTTTGGATATGTAATATAAGCAAACATTTAATACTGCATTAGTTACTTTTCTCAACCTCACACATTTAGATGTGAATCCCTTCAGCTTTGCACATTTTCTTTGTAGGTTAGAGGCTTTTTATACTGAGCAATGCACAGTTTAGATCTCATTTCATTTCCTGATACCTTCCTACAAACAAGGGGTGCATCTTCACATGCATTTAATCTAAGATGAGTTTACTTTTGAATAACTAATGGTGAGTAAACACTCCCAGACAGGTGTCTACACATGCAGAGACATGGGAGAAGATTTCCTGCTCCTAGTAGCAAACTGCTGCCACTTATTGCAGCCCTGCAATGGGCCCCTGCCACCATTGGAGGGAGCTTGGAGCTCTGGCCACACATGCTAGCAGCCAGCAACCATCTTGAAAAGTTAGCCTCACCTCTGCTCCCTGGCCAGTCACTACCATGGTCAGAAGTAGCATGCACAGTGCAGGGGCAGCGTGTGGCAGCTCTCTTTTTGCGGCCCCTGCCTCCCTGCACCATAGCTGCTGCAGCCCCTGCCCCTAGCAGCAGTGACCAGTGCCTTGGGCTCCTGCTGGCCACTGTGCTGGCCCTGCTGGCCCACCACACCAACTGCAAGCTGGCCCATAGCCATCTGGACCCTGCCATCTCCCCCATGTGCAGTGACCACCTGCCTGGCCACAGTGTGGCATCTCAGGGCCAACACCGATGCACATATACCACTGGGACCCCATCTACCTGGCCAGACCCCAGTGGGGACACCAACAATGGGCTCCAGGATGCCAGCGCCAAGCAATTCAAGCTCCAGCTTTTTTCATGACTGTCCCTAGCCTTAGAGGCTAATATGTGGAGCATCGGGTTACCTCAGGCTGGCAGGGGGCAGAGGGACAGCTTTTGCGCTGTCAGGGATATTGGGTGTAGCCTCACACATCAGGCATCACTGAGGACTGCCTTGATCTCACAGTGGACTCTGGCAGGGGGCGTGGAAGCAGTGGGTTGGGAGTGAGGGGCACCAGCATGGACAGGGACAGGGCACTGGCATATCAGGGCTGCTTAGCATCACAGATCAGCCACTTGGCATCCTGCAAAATGTTGTCAGTTACAGTGGGGAGCTGCACTTCTTTCTTAACCCAAAGGGAAACAATTGCAAACTAACTAGATTTATCTTCTTGACCTTCTGGAATTGGAGCAATGTTTATTTGGGGGGGGGGGTTGTGG